AAAAGATATGGCTAAGTATAGTGATTTTGGTGTGTATCCTGCCTGGTGTTTTCTGAGCTTCCTGGATCTGTGGTTTGGTGACTGGCATTCAACCTTTGGGATCATGAGAAAAAAAGAAGAAGAAGAAAATATATAAATCAGAATATAGAGAGAAATAATTAAAAATAAATTGAGAATTTACTCTGACAAAAATATAAACAAGTATCTAACAAAATTTTACTGTAAAAAGAGTGAAATAAACAAATATTAGATACTTAATATCAATCCTAAAAAATAAATCTATAGGTAGAAAGGAAATAAATTATGGTAGTGTAAAGATTTGGATATTAAGAGAATTTTTACAAAAGTGATAATGTGGTTTTTTAAAGCTTTAGGAAGGTTTGGAAGTTGAAGACTCACTATTAAGAAGGTGTTGGAGCCCTAGCTGGTTTGCTAAGTGGTTACAGCGTTGGCCCACAGACTGAAGGGTCCGGGTTCAATTCCAGTCAAGGGCACATACATCAGGCTCGATCCGGAGAGTGTGTATAGGAGGCAACCAATTGATGTCTCTCTCACATAGATACTTCTCTCTGTGTGTCTCTTCCCCTCCCTTCCACCCTCTCTAAAAATCAGTGGCGGTGGGGAGAGAGGGGGAAATACCCTCGCATGAGGATTAGCAAAAAAAAAAAAAAAGTAAGAAAGAAAAGAAAGCTCTTCACTAGAATGTGGGTCAGAAGTCCAGACTGTAGGAGATTGAGTAGTTAAAGGGTATTGAGAGGCTGCAAGAGGGATTTTTTGTTGTTGTTTTTTTAAAAAATATATTTTACTGATTTTTTTACAGAGAGGAAGAGAGAGGGATAGAGAGCTAGAAGCATCGTTGAGAGAGAAACATCGATCAGCTGCCTCCTGCACACTCCCTACTGGGTATGTGCCTGCAGCCAAGGTACATGCCCTTGACTGGAATCGAACCTGGGACCCTTGAGTCCACAGGCCGAGGCTCTATCCACCGAGCCAAACCAGTCAGGGCTGCAAGAGGTTTTTTTTTAGAGTTTCTGAAACTGAACTAAAGGGGCCTCTGAACCCAATAGTGAAGCCAGGTTGGGTTCTGATACAGGTGTTTTGGGGGGTTCATGGATTTTCAGAGAAAAATATACCCTTTTGCTACCGATTGAAGCTGCTAAATGGAGTTATGCCAAAAGTTGTTGGCATAATTTCAAAACAATCTCTCCTAGATTGTACTATCTATAATAATAAAAGCATAATATGCTAATTAGACTAGACAGCCTTCCGGATGAAGCCAGGGCTGCGAGGGAAGCCCGAGTCCTGGGTGCCTACAGGCAGCCAGAGGGAAGCCCAGGTCCCGGGTGCCTTCCAGCAGCCAGAGGGAAGCCCAGGTCCCAGGTGCCAGAGGGAAGCCGGTGCTGGCAGCTGAGGGAAAGAAGGTCTACTCTTGCACAAATTCCGTGCATCGGGCCTTTAGTCCTATTTAATAGAAGGCTAATATGCAAATCGACCAAACAGCAGAACAACCAGCTGCCGTGAAATGCACTGACTACCAGGGGGCAGATGCTCAATGCAGGAGCTGCCCCTTGGTGGTCAGTGCGCTCCTATAGGGGGAGCGCTGCTCAACCAGAAGCCCTGAGCTGAGCTCATGGCTGGTGAGCACAGTGGTGGTGGCAGGAGCCTCTCCTGCCTCCGCTGCAGTGCAAAGGATGTCCCACTGATGGACATCCCCCAAGGGCTCCTACACTGCGAGAGGGCACAAGCCGGGCTGAGAGATACCTCCCCCTTCCCCCGCCCCGAGTACATGAATTTCACACACCGGGCCTCTAGTTTATTTAATAATAGTATGTAGTAGAAAATAGTAATGGAAGACTGATTACACAGAATTTGTTACTCATTAGATTTAATATCTGATATCTTAATTATAAAGACCTCTTAGTATTTATTTCAACACCTTTACACATTACACTCCATCTTTAATCCAACCCTATTCTCACTGTCCATCAGGTCTCTAATAACTGTGTTAATCGTCATTAATTTAGCACATATGACTTAATATACATCACAGGCAATAAAAATTGTTGCAAATTGTTAAGCATTTCTCGTGAAGAATGCAGCTGCTAACACTTAAGATCTGTGTTAGCTAACTTTGGCATATCTGAAAAACAAACTATGGACAGACAGCATGCTTTTCCTAGAAGTGCATGGTTTACAACTGTTTATACCTGAAAATAAGTAGTCTCCATCAGTAGTAGTTTTGAAAAGAAAATGTTCTTCTAAGGTAGTGGATGAGGGGGGAATTAATTGGTTAAAAACAAAGAATGTTCAAAAAAGGGAAACAGTGTTCATTCCCTTTTAAGAACTATTCAGATGAAAAATTCCTCTGCATGAGCTTGATCTATATGTTTTTCGTGGTTATTAGTAGTAATGAAGTTGCATTAACCATATTCTCTTGATAATGCTCCAGCAGTTGCTTAGTACTTTTATCAGCATATAAATTTTACAACTGGCAATGTGGGAATTTGACTAGTACATTTTTGTTTATAAGGAAGGGTAACATTATAACTTCTTCATATCTATGAATTATGAATCTTGACTTGCAAAAGAAGCAAAACTAAACTGCAACAGAGCTTCAATATCATGATAGCTCTTCTTTCCACCAGCTCACAAGCAATAGCAGTGCATGTAGGCTGCTGAGTGGAATACAGTGCCAGAGGTATGCCTTCTTAATCCAGATGTGTGAGTTATTTTCATTTTATTCACTCTTTTTCTCAATAAACATGTATTCAGGGCCTTCTCTATCTGTACATTGAAAAATGCTCTTCTTCATAAAGGAACAGCTGAAACGAAGTAGACGGTGCATAACCACCATATATCCTTATCTCTGTTAGAAAACATTATTTTCAATAATTTTTGGAAGGACTTTAAATAGCTCAGTTCTTTAAAGATTAAACATGATCCAAAAAGAACCCTTTGGAAAATGATTTTCCCCATTTCATGAAGTTATAAATGAATAAATGTTTTTTATCAAGCTGAAATCCAGGTTTTAAATTTGATTTGTCCTATCTCCAAAGGAATGTTTAAGTCTCCAGCACCTAGCCCATAAGATTAGCTAGTACCACTGGAGAAGAGTTTATGGGAGGAAGAAGCATCATTCCCTTTCCTTTTTATGTGAGGACTATGGGTCCGTCTGGCTAGAGTTACATGTAGTAATGCCCAGGTACAGGTGTCGTGTGAGGCGTGGGAGAGTTACTAGGTAAGTGCTGCCAGGTAGATCTGAGAGAAGGAAATGATAGTAAAATTCATTAACTAAAATCAAATTATCGAATCCCTAAAACTTGATTTTCAGTTTCCCACTTTAGTGAAGAAAGAGCAAAATGGGAGAAAATAAGCTTCTATTAATTATTTGTGCAATAAAAGTACAAACTTTGGTGTTGACATGGAGTGGGACTACCTCCTACAACTACAATAATTTATAATCATTACTTCAAGAAGACACTAGCTCTGAAATACCTCAAGACCATGAGTCATTTGGGAAGTAATCATCCATTCAACAATGTTTCCTTGGTGTCCTCTGTCTGCCAGACAGTTAAAGCACAGGTCCTGGCCAACCCTGGAAGCTAGAGAGGAAGTATAGGGCGTGCTTATGGGATGAATTGCTGCTGAAAGTACAGTAAGATAAGAATGGACCTTTGGCTTGGCAGTACAGGAGTTATTGGTGACCTTGAGGCATGGATTCAAAGCAATGGCAAGGCCACAACCAGACATTAGTGAGTCAGGGACTGAAGAAGCAGCAGTAGCACATTAAGATACTCTCTTGAGGGGAAAAAACAAAAAACAAAAACCTTGTGTGGGGGTGGGAGAGGGATGGTAACTAGAAAGGAGAGAGGGTTCAAAGGAGAAGTTGATGTACACACACACACACACACACACACACACGGTTGTATGCTAATGGAATCATACAGTAGAGAAGGCGAAATGATGATGCAGGGGAGGGAGGTACAGGAGTAAAGATCGTGAAAGGACAGAGGAGGTGGGGTCCAGAGCCCGGATGGAGAGGCTGGCCATGGCTAGGAGCAGGACTCTTCTTCCACCACAACAGAGAAGAAGACCTAAACTATAGGAGATGCAGCTGCCATTTAACAAATATTTACAAAATACCTATTTGTGCTGGACAATGGCAATACAGCAAAGAGACAAAAATCCTTGTGTTCATGAAACTTTCATTCTAGTGGGGATTGGAGGAAGGGGACAAATAATAACCAAATAAGTAAAATACTAATATATAGTATGTCAGATGATGCAGAGTGCTATCAAGAAAAGCAGAGAAGTGGGGAAGGGATCATGGAAAGCTGGGTGGGTAGCAGGGTAGTGGGGCGGGTGTGTTGAGGGTGAATTGCAATTCTCATAAACTGGGCATCTATTGTAATTTCTATGAACTTGATGTAATTTCTGTGAATTTACTTCTTGACCCTCCAACACATTTATTTTTCAAAATCAGATTAAATGTGGCCTACCACCTACATGTGAGGGCTAGTGGGACACCTGCTACCAGCCTCATTTCAAGGTGCCCCTTCTATGGGTAGCCCAAGACTCGTCCAGCCCTGTGTCTCTCCTTTGTAGTCCTCATCATAGGTTTAATCGCACACTTATTTATGCAATTATTTGATTAATATATTTCTTCCCTGCTAGACTAGAAGCTCCAGGAGGGGAACTATGTCTGTTTTGGACAGTTGTATCCCCAGAACCTACCACAGCATTGGCACGTAATAGGCCCTATTGAATGAATGAATAAAAAGTATAAAGACTATTTTCTGTAAGCCACATCTTTAAGAGTCTTATGTTTTATTATCCTGTGCTCATTTTTAAGTTTTTACCTCTCACTTGGTGTGGCTGATCTAGTAAATGGCCATTTTCGAAGTAGCTAAGATATGTTTTTATACCGACAGAGTATGTGAAATAGTACGAAATATAGTTGTCCTCTGATTTAAATCTCCACTTATTTTTTTTTTTTGCAGGACCAATGCCAGAGGTGCTCCCCTGAATATAAATAAGGTCTCCAATAGCCTGATTAATTTTGGAAGGAAGTTGATTTCCCCAGCAACAGCCCCAGGCAGTACCAGTGGCCCTGTTTCCGGAGGCAGTGGTGGCAGTACCTCCACTGCTGTGGGTCCCCCCAGAACCCTGGCAGAGATCCCCCGGCATCATTTGCAGCAGCAGCAGCAGCAGCAGCAGCAGCGGCTGATGAAATCGGAAAGCATGCCAGTGCAATTGAACAAAGGTAAGGAAAAGTACTAATAAATCTGAAGAAAGCACTTGCAGTATAGCCTGCTTGTAAGAAAATAACTTCTATTAATTTTTAATAAATTCATTGTATTAGGTCCTTTTAAATTACATTATCAGATACTATATTGTTCTTAATTACAAACATCTTATGAGGTAATTTGTTAAGGTATTTTTTGACATTTATAGGCTGGTATACTTGCATTTGCATCCTGTGGAGCCTCCTAGAGTATTACACAAACTGTCACAACACAGAACTTGAAGTCATTTGGCTGTGGTGTCACTCACTTGGATGATAATGCAGGAAGTTGCAGACACCATGGGCTTTGCTAGTCCCAGCACTCTCCTGGGCAGTTGGGTTGGAGGAAGCATGCCCTTAGGCTCCCACTCTGGCGTTTCACCGCTGAGTTAACAGACTAGAACCGTAAAGGGAAAAAAGCTAAACATATATCAAGCCTCCAAAGTAAGTGTCTGAGTCCATGCACCAAAAATTTGAACAGTAGAATGTGAGAGCAGAGGAATTCTGGTAGGTGGCTTCCCATCCAACTCTCACTCGATGAGTGAGGGCACTGCTAGTGGTGCTGCTGTTGGGGGTACTCTTGCTGCTGAGACTCAGGTGCCGGGAGCCGGTCCATGCTTGCTGTTTCAAGGGACCTGGCATATATAGCATACTGTTCTTAATATGTTTGCTCACCTTCTTGGCACTATGTGTTTTAACCAAGGTCTCTGAGAAAGGTTGTTTCCCCAGGTAGGGATTTTCCCCTGAAGTTAGGGAGGGAATAAAACCTCTTAACTAGTGCCAGGTGGGTAATTAATCACTTTAACTACGAACAATCATGCTTAAGCTACATAATCTTTACTCCCTGGAATGGAGATAGGAAACGCCCTAACCTTTGTAATAGAGATTGATAGGATTGAATCAACTGGTATAAATACAGTTGTAACTAGACAGCAAGAGACAGAACTTAGAACACAGAACTTAGAACACAGAACTTAGGACACAGAACTTAGAATACAGAACTTAGAACACAGAACTAAGAGAACAGAACCAAGAGAGACAGAACCAGGAGGCACAGAACCTACACAGAACGTTCTCTAGAGACAGAAGAACTTCACTGGAGAGAACATGGCAAAAGATCCTGGACAGAAACTGGCCTCAGAACCTAGAGACAGAACCTAGTGAGAGAACATGGCAAAAGATCCTGGACTGAACCTGACTACAGAAACTGGCAAGAGAACCTGACTAGAACCTGGTGACTGAACCTGGCTGGAGAACCTGGACAGAACCTGGCTGGAGGACCTGGAGAACCTAGCAAGAGAACATGGACACATATCCTGGCTGGAGATCCTAACCAGAACCTCACTGGAGATCCTGACCAGAACGTGGCTAGAGAACCTTGCTATGATGATCATCTGAACGCCCTCTCCATGTCATTCCTTCTTCGCCGACTCCGTCCACGCCTTTGGGGACCCCTGGACCTGCTGGGGCAGGACCCCGGCACTCAGGGGAGCTCATTTCTGTTTCTGGGCCTTCATCTCCCGCATGCATTTTATTCCTAAGAGAGCCCTTCAGGTTCTTGCTCAGAATCTTTACACTTTTACTTTCTACTTATTTTCAGAGACCTATGTATTTGCTGCCCCTATTCAAAATCAATTAGAAAGAACTGAGTTTATTTTTTAATGGGGGCACTCTGCTATCTGTACTGTAGAAAAAAGAAATAACATGATGGCAGAAAATATTTTTTTAAAAAAGTCAATTCTAAGACCTCACGGAGCATCAGATCTGTAGCCATTTTGTTTCAAGGCAAATATACTGACACATGCCTCATTCACGTCTTACAGGGATCCCTGTGGAATAGCCATGTTCCATAACTGGTGTTAACAGTAACAATAGTAATACTGAGTCAATGTGAAGACATTAAGCCATGTTCTATATACTCTGTTTGAGAATTCTGCATTCAAAATTATGAAAAATTTTAAGTTACTGGCATTTAAAATGATGAACTTAAGTTAAATAGGCTTTATTCCCCAATGTTATAAAGTAATGAGTATTATTCAATAATGAGTGTGTGTTTTTCCATTATATCATATTATCGTTGCCTATATGAAGTATTAAACTTTATATATTCTTATTTAAATTTCTATAAGAGTATTGTTTACCTATATAAGACTATGTCATTTAAAATTGCATTCTTCTCTTTTTAATGTAGAGCTATCATATATGATTTAAAGAAAAAGAGACTTCAAATCATTAACATGTTGTAAACGTATTTTAATGCCAGGAGACATGCCCACTTACAGAATGGAAATGAATGTTATTTTATATATTTCTTAATTGTACTTTTTTATTGTTCTAAACAAATATGATTTCAATATTGCTTTGATAACAAGCTGTAGTCAGTAGTAATTCTAACTGATGGCAGGCAAATGAGTCAGAGAATCTCTTAATGCTGTAGCTTAAATTTTCTGAGGAACCAAGCCAAATGACTATAGAAATATAAAGTTGTGTCTCTTAGGAAATGTCAAGTATTAATATCACAGTAAGTGAGAAAGGAAGTGCATGAGGATGGAACAATTGATGAAAACTAAGTCCCCAGTTAGAAGAAGACAACAGAGCACTTAAGCAAAGTGTTTGGAACATGCGTATCACTACTGAGGCACTTCGTAACTGATCCCCGTGCTGGAAGGAAGAAAGTGGCCTTGTTTGGCAACTCTTCCGTCTTTTTATTTCTTCTCCTGTGAAACTACAAAAAGCTAGTCTACCTTCATATTAGAGATACATATTCCTGCTAATGCCCCTCCCTGCACAAAGACTTAAGTAAAACAGGAAAGGGCAAAGAGAACAATTTATACAAGTAGAACCTAGTGTGGGTGATGCTCTTCATTCACTCACCAATGAACTGTAAGCAGAACCCTGGAGCTCTCTGACCCTCTGTTTCCAACCCTGAAGTCAGAGGTTTGGACTAATCCCTGGGGTCTTGCAGCTCCAAAAATCTATGGTTCCTTTGGTGAAAGATTACTTGTTAACACGATGGTGGAAACACTTCTCCAACATAGGTTCTTTACGCTGGCATTTTCCACAGGTGTCCTGCTGAGCTGCGGCACCGAGCAGTCCACAGGTGGGTCACAGGTTTGGGTGGTAGAGTGAGCACAGTATGTAGCCTGTCAGGAGGCTTGCGTTGAATATGACTTCTAACTCCCTCAGAACAGCGCCATCTACGCTGTGCCTTTGAGGAAAGATAATGTATCAGTCTTTTTAGTGTCCTCTGCTGGAAAATTTGAAAGTTGTTTTGAAAAATGGTTATTTATAAAGATGAAAATGCTTATGGTTTTCCTAGGTTAGTTTGTGCTTGTACAGGGAAGCAGTATGGAAAACAGAAAATTCACGTATATGCTGCTTGAAATGCAGTCTGTCATTTGTATATGTGTTGGGGGTGGGGTCTTAAAAGAAGGAAAAGGGAGCACAGATGTTCATCCATAATTTTCCTGCTGATATTTAATATTAAAATTAGTTTTTAGTCTAAATATACTAACTAGAGGCCCAATGCATGAAATTCGTGCAAAAGTAGGCCTTCCTTCCCCCAGCTGCCGGCACCAGGTTCTCTCTGGCACCCGGGAACCTGGGCTTCCCTCACAGCCCCGGCTTTGTCTGGAACGTCATCTGGAAGGACGTTCGGTCTAATTAGCATATTACCCTTTTATTATTATAGATAAGTGATCCAGATGCAGCAGAATAAAATGGATAGGAAGCATAAAATTGAAAATCTCCTTCAAAACTATAGAAAAGAAGCATGCCATTTATCCATGAATAGAGAGTTAACTATACTATGAAAATTCAGGACCTGAAAGTTCTGCTCAAAACTGTTTATCACTTGTTTGGAGTATGTACTTATCTATAGATTGTATTGTAGTTATAGGAGAATATAAATGTATGTACTGTTAATTGATAGTGATGATATAATTACAGCCCAGTAATCTCCATCTGAGCTGGCCATGCTGTAAATCATAATTGTAGCAAGTGGTCAAGGCACCGAGAGTATGTTATTTAATTCAAAAATAGATTTTTACTATTGTATAAAAACTACAGGGGAAGCAAGTCTATTAATCATACATTATCACACACACAAAATATGGTGCCTTTTAAGAAGGCTTGTTTTTTGACCTTGTTAAGCTCAAAATAACATAGGCCCTCAAATGCTGTTGACAGTGACTGCTTAATGTTGAACTTTGTCACCCAGGAAGGAAATCAAAGAAGCAAAAAATCTCTCTTCTAAATTGTGTACCTCAGCTCTTCACAGAATGTCCCGTGGCGCTCCTTTTCCTTTCCTTCCTGTGTTCTTAAAATGCACTCCTTTCCCCCATTCCCTTTGTCTGTTTTTCAAATTTGAACACCTCTTTATTTTAAGCATTTACTACAGGTCCAATTTGTAAATGAAATCTTGCCTATAATAAATATATCAAGTTTAAAGGGTATGCCGTTCACAGATTTATTTTTACATGTTGACATTTCTAAGTACATGTGGGAACTTTTGAAATCTTGTCAATACTTACTATGAAATTAGAACTTGTTTAAGTCTTGATCTGGTGACTGAAGAAACTGGTTTCAAGTTTAGCTAAAAATAAATTTTGTCTGTTACAGAGGGGAATCAGTTTCAAAAGAAACGTTACTTAGTAAATGCATGTAATTTTTTGGATAAAAACTTTTGAAAGAAAATATAAAATCACACTAATATTTATAGCATAATGAAGTCTGTTCAGCAAAATCTTTTGATTGCTAGAGTTTCCTATACTTTCAAATGATAGGAACTTGTTTTATACTTTGGACTAGTGGAAATTTATTTCTTTGTTTTCTTTAAGAAAAACATGCCCAAATGCTTTTTAGGTAATACTTTAAAAAAAAATAGGCCCTTTTAAAAATATTTTATGTTTATTTTCATAATATTGTACTGTATTTTCTGTTTTATTTTACTTTTAGTAATTTGATTGATAAATGTATTACAACATTAAGTATGAAAAAAAGTTATTTTTTTGCTTTTATGAAATCTAATTATTTTTTCTTATGAAATCTAGGTGATGTAGTTACAGGAAGCAATGCTCAGGTTTCTGTTCCTGTCCAGACTCTAACTGACCTCCAAGGTACAGTTACCGTGGCAACGTAGTATACCTTTTTGCCTGCAGTATTATCATTGCCTATTCCAAAATTCCATTGTTCTGTCTGCCCACCCTCCAATTCATACTGTTTATTAGATCACTACCATTATTCAGCCACTGAGTGGCACTGTTGTTTAAAACAAAAGTCCCTTCTCATGTCAACTTGGTGATGCCAAACCCAGCTGTGCTGTGGGTTTTCTAAGTTTGCACCAGCCTCTTTCCTTGCAAAATATGGGCACTCTATATCTTGTGGTGATTTTAACACTCTGTTTTATTGAGCAGCTCACACCAAGGTGTCCTTTTTGTTGCATAGGTGCTCTGTGACAGTAACTGACAAATTAGTTCTCAGATTAGATTATTTATGTGCTCTTTGTATGCATATTATTGTATGTATCAGCCAGAGTACTTGTTATATTTTACCTAAAAGAATCATCACTTGATTTTGAAATAAGTTTTTAAGTACAGGCTTTGTATTATGAATCATATTAACAGAAAGTTTGGTATGACAAATCTCCACACATAACTAGCAATGATTTAAAATACAAAATAACATTTTAACATCATAATTGCTTGTTCTTAATCTAGAAAAAGGTTTATTTAAGACTTAAAAAAAATAATAGTAATTCATATTCAGCAACTCCTGTGGAATTTAAAAACATAAATATTTAAAGTTGTTGCATTAATCTTTTATTATGTAATATTTTAGGTAAAATATCCTACAGAGAGGAATTCTGTACCAAGTGGAAGCCTACTATTCAAACTGAATAGAAGATTCAAATTCAGAATTAAAATTCATATAATGTTTTCCTTAATTTAAAATATACACATAATTTAGTCATGCTCGTAGTATTAAAATACTATTCTAATAATGATATGTCTTCATAATATCTATGATTTTTGATAAATTAACAGAAAAAATATACTGTGATTAGGAAATGAGTGGTGTGTGGCTTAAGATAGTAAGAAATAAAACTGTTGTGCTAGAGGGATGTGACCTCGCTTCTATATATAGTTCTGGATTTCACAGGTATAGTTTCGGCTGTGTTCTGGTAATTGAACCATCTGACCTTTAAGGGTTTGGTCAGCCTGGGGATTCCATGAGGAGCTGCTGTTTACTCTTCATGGTGTCTGTTATGTGATATAAACAGATGCAGTAAAATGGAAATAGAAAAGGCAGATAATCTCCAAATGATTTGTCTTTAGCCTTGTCAATTATTGCACTTAAGTAAATATTGATGTGATTATCCGATATGATGAGAATTCATAAGGCTTAAATCTGTTTCCTAAAATTAAAATCTGAGCCCTCTAGACAACTCTTTAACAAGTGTTTTGTTATCGTAGTTCATTTGGCTGTGTGGAGAGAGACCGGAGGCTGTCTTGCTCATTGTGACTTCTGCTCTATGCTGCTACTGCTCATTCCCTGTACCCTCAGACCAGAGCCCCCTGAACCATGTTGCCTTTGTAATAGAATCTTGAAGAGGGAGGTTATATCATTTTATTCAAATAACTGATGTTATATAAGTAGAATCATGTCATCCATTTACTCCACAAGTATTTATTCAGTGCCTACCATGTGCCAACCTCTGTTTTCATCGATCCCTTGCTTTCCCTACAGCTTTGCCAGGTGGACTGGGCATCAGCCTATGTTTTAAATGGTCCAGACAGGCCTGTTTTTCTGGAGACCCTATTCAAAATTCCCCCTGCCTGCCACGCCCTCTCAGAGAGTCTATCAGTCTGCTAGGGGCGGCTCCTGTCCACCAGGGGAGGTTCCAGCCCCTTTATGTGACATGAGGTGCAAATAAACAGCTTTCAGTCTGTGATGGTGATGATGAGACAGTGTGACCATACCTACCCTGGTTTGAAGAAGTCACTCTGTTTTCTTCAGCACACTTCCTGCAGAGGGTCAGAACGCAGCGGGAAGGAGAAGTAAACCCAAAATAGTTAGTGGTGGCAACAAAAAACTTTCTAACAATCTATGCTTAACAGGATTAGTAATATTAGAAGATAGAGAACTTAATCAAAATGTGCCAAACCCATTCTATTCCCCTTGAATCTCCTATTTTAAGAGTAGAAAAGTTTTTTTATTTCATAGAACTAAAACTATCATTCATACTGTCTCAAATGTCTTTTTTTCTGCCAGCCTATTTCCCTAAGGGTAATCATTGTTAAGTTTCAATAGATTTTAAACTGAGGAGTAAAGTGGGAGTCGCATAAACGTGGTAATAGCTCATGTGTCTGGAGGTGACTTCCTCTCTGGACCTTCAGGAATAAAGCACTAACAGAAATGTTCCAGTGCAGGTGACAGGCAGCAGACTGGGAGATAAAGAAAAAGGAGGTCAAGTCAACTAGAGTTGGACATAGGACTGACCACAGGGACCCCTTCTGCTCGCAAGCATGAGGGGAGAGACTGAAAACCTAAAAGTTATCCGTGTGCGTGACCCTATATTGGTCACTCTGGTGTTACTGAGAAATGAGAGCCCTGAAGCAGCAGACAGGTCCACTGTGTCCTGTATAATCACCCGAAGAAGGCAGAGAAATACGTAATGTGAAACACAAGCATCAGTTAGCGAGAAAATGCATTTTTATAGAACACTCCAAAAGACGTTGAATAAATGAGTTGTTTTTGGACTGAGAATAAGATCAGCATTTGCCCTTACTTTTAAAATACCTCATTCTGTTTTTCTTTAACTTCAGGTCATGCTTACTATAGCCTACCTGACACAGCCCTTGCTAGCGGAGCAGGGAGTGCTGCTTGGCCAGCATGGCTCTGGGGTGAGGCCTGGGTTTGAGTCCTGCCTCGAATACTGCCTTGCTGGCTGACCTAGGGAGGTCACTGACCTCTTACCTGTAACGAGAGAAAAGAATAGCTGCTTCAGGGGTATAAGAAGTGACCACCGCACTGTCCCATAGTGATGCCTCCAGAGCCATTATGTGTTTTCCTCAAATACCTTTTAGTTTTCAGAATCAAATGATGAAGGAGCCAGCTGAGCACCTCTACATTTACTTAAGAATAACTTTCGATGTCCTACAGCCCATGTTTGCAGGCAAGCTCTGGATCTGACAGTGCTTGACCACTGTGTTCAGCTAGAGCAGCTTTCTCTGGGCCTTCAGGTACAGCCTGCTTCCTTTTGCTCTCTGGTGGCACCAACGTGCATGTTTTTAATGAGCCAACATCAGCCCTCTTGCTCTCTGTCACCCGAATCTGAGGCAACAGAATGTGACCAGATGGGCCAGCTGCCTCCCTTTCTCCTGGGTCACTGCATGAAGTTGCAGCAATCCCCTTTCTGTGGCTGCAGCCCTGGGCTTTCTGCTCTTCTGAGCTACGCCTCCCACCAACGACCCCCAGATTTCCTAGCCTCCTAAACACTGTGCTTTGGGGCTTTATCCTATCACACATTGGTTTTGGTGTCATCCTCAGTTACATAGGGATGTCAGGAAGCTCCGAAGAATTTCATCAGACTGACGGAGCTAGATGTCCCCAGGAGTCCAACGGCCTTGGTAATACTGTGTCCTCTGCCAGAAGTGACCCTCCCTGAGCCACCCCACTCACCACCACTCTCCAAGTAATAAGGTTTCCCTTACACCTCTGATTGCCTGAGGCAGTATTAGATACGGCCTCCTTAGTGCTCCCAGGGTACTGTTGTTTAGGCTCCTGTTTGCTTTGATCACCTGGGATTTTAGGTTAGTGAATGTACAAGTCTATTTCCCTTGTACTGTTATTTTGGGAGCTTTTTAAGAGCTTGTCTTGTCCCCCTCCTCAGGGCTGGACAGAGTTTCTATGGGCACTTCATAAGCTCATGCCCTGCTGTTTGGTTATGAATGAAAGATTATGTGCATGCCTGATGCAGCTTGAGAAGTGGTCTGTAGTTAATATATTTAAGAATGCCTTGCAATATAAAATAACTTTTAAAGAATTGCTTTGGGTCCGAATTTCTGATAAATGAAAGCGAGTGAAGGCTTTTGGGGGCGTGCCCTCAAGCTCAGCACCTGGGGAGTGAGAGGGGTTGAGCTGAGGGGTGAGCTGACCTGCCTTACTGTTGCTGCTGGAACCCCTGGGCCTGGGATGGCCCTTCAGAGGTGTCTGCCTTGAGGCAAGAGGGTAGCCTGTACCCTCTATCAGCCCAACTAGTGACTGACTGGAGCTAATCCCCAGGGAGGGACAGGACCTTGGGCAAGCAGCTCTCCACAGCTCAGGGACCTCCCAGAACGGGACTCCTGAGAGCCATCCTCTCCCATCAGCCGGGATACGTGCCTCAGTCCTGAAGGGGCCCTGGGCAAGGCACCGCAGCAATGTACTTAAGAGTGTGCCTCTAAGAACAGGCCTTAGTTTGAGCACAGCAAAAGAAATTATTCATGTTGTCCCTGTCAGTTAAAGACATTAAAAGGTTTCTAGAGCTTCAGAGCCCCTGTGCAGTTGATGGGCTACAGGTAGCTGAGAATATCGTCAGACATCCCTCTGGCAGCCCGGGGGCCCTCGGGGGATATCCACGTGCCAGCAGGGAGCAGGCCTAAGCTGCAGTCGGACATCCTTAGCGCTGCTGAGGAGGTGGGAGAGGCTCCTGCCACCACCGCTGTGCTGGCAGGCGTCAGCCTGGCTTGTGGCTGAGCAGAGCTCCCCCTGTGAGAGTGCACTGACCACCAGGGGGCAGCTCCTGCATTGAGCGTCTGCCCCCTGGTGGTCAGTGTGTGTCATAGTGACCAGTCATTCCCAGTTGTTCTGCTGTTAGGGTCAATTTGCATATTACCCTTTTGTTATATAGGATTCTGTGCGTCAGAAGTCTAGCACAGATCTCACCAAGCTGAAACCAACATGTCAGGAGGTTCTAGGAGAGAATCATTTGCGCTATTAGCAGAATTCAGTTCCTTGAGACTATAGAACCAATGTCCCCATTTCTTAGCTGGCTGTCAGCTGGCTGCCATTCTCCTCTTCTAGAGGATGCCACATTGACCCCTGGCTCCTTTCTCAGTCCTCACAGCCAGCAAAGCCAGTTCCTCTCATGTTCAACCATCTCCTTTATAATCTTTAGTCACATCTCTGTTCCACTTGAAGGACCTCTGTGTTTACATTGGCCCACCATAATAACCTGGGGTGTTCTTCCAATCTCAAGGTTCTTAACCTTAACACACTTTTTTTTTTTTTTTGCAGAGTCCTTTTGCCATATAGGGTAGCATACTCACAAGCTCTGCCGATTAAGGGTCTAGGCCAGGGGTGGGCAAACTTTTTGACTCGAGGGCCACAATGGGTTCTTAAACTGGACTCAGAAGAAGGAGCTGCGGCTGTGTTTCCCAACGTTGCCATGTTAACACTGCTGCTGGTGAAGGAGCGGAGGGGAGAGCAAGAGGACCCTCCGCTCTTTCGGCTCCGCAGGCCAGATAGAAAGCCGGACGGGCCGAATCCGGCCCGCGGGCCGTAGTTTGCCCACGGCTGGTCTAGGCCAACCATGTCAAACTCGCAGCCAGCAGGCCACATGTAAACAAGGCATGGGGCCTGCCAGCCATGAGTTTAACATGCTTGGTCTAGGCATTATTCTGCCTACCTCATATATGGTTTTTAGGGGGACGATACGAATGATCAAAATTGACCCAAGCAGAAGCAGAAAACCTTAATAGTGGAATGAACTTAGAAAAAAATCCAAAAAGCCATCATTGTGATGCCATTAAAATGTCACTGGCACCAGATAATTTTATAGCTAGATGATTCAAATTTTGAAGGTACAGATAAATTCAGTTGTATAATTTTAGAAAAAGCTAAACATTTTTTCATTTTATTTTGTGAAAAAGCCATGTTCTTGCAAATCAAAATGCTTTGGCTTCTTAGATTTATCTTTTTTCCTATGGACTTTTAAAAGCAATTTGGAACTCAGAACTAAGCAAACATTCCTTTTGTTTTAGCTATATCTTCCACAACCCCAAGGCAATAAAAGCTACTTAACAAGTAGAGTTCCAAGGAGCGATGAGAAAATATTTATAAAGGGAAAAAGAAAAACCTAGGTTTATAATAAATACTTAAATTTTTTCCCACTACATCATCTTGGAGTAAGAAATGCCTTCCTAAGCAGGACCATAAAAACAAAAACCATAGAGGAAAATATAGACACACACTTATATACAAATGGTTGAGTTCCAGAATTTAGGAGGAACTCCCCTAAATCAGCTTTTTAAAATAAAATGAGCAGAGATGATTCACACAGGACCTTCAGATGACTGGTATGAATAAGTTGAAAGATATTCAACCTCACTAGTTATCAGGAAACTTCAAACTAACATAATGAAATTCTGCTTCCATCAATTAATCAAATAAAAAATTAGATGAATAGCCGTAACTGGTTTGGCTCAGTGGATAGAGTATCAGCCTGTGGACTGAAGGGTCCCAGGTTCGATTCCAGTCAAGGGCATGTGCCTTGGTTGTGGGCACATCCCCAGTGGGGGGGTGTGCAGGAGGCAACTGATCGATGTTTCTCTCTCATCGTGTTTCTAACTCTCTATTCCTCTCCCTTCCTCTCTGTAAAAAAAATGAATAAAATATATATTTTTTTAAAAATTAGATGAATAGATAAATATATATCATGTTACATTTACACATGTGTATAAATATACATATATATGTAGGTTAAAATCCTAGGAGAAATCAATTTGGAATTATTAATGTAAATTTAAAATGCACATACAATTAGACATAGCAGTCCCATTTATGTAACTTTACCTAATAGAAATAGACAACAGTTTGTACCTAAAAACATATCTCTTTCGAGTTTTAATTGTCATTTAGTTTGTACAGGCAAAAAAAACAAAAGAAAGAAAAATCTTAAATGTCTATTTAGGAAAGCTATAATTGTTTCTTCTTCACAGCCATTAAAAAGAGTAAGGCAGATTTGTATATAAGAGGAACACAAATTTCAAAGACTAAGTTCAGTCCAAAAAGCAAGTCAGAGAGGGAAGTGTTTTTGGAATGACAGGACCTCTGAAAATGTTCCTCCATAACAGCAACAAGATCAGAAATGTCAAAGCTTTATCTGAACTCTGGAAATTAATCAAAGAATTGTAATAACGTAATTTGAAAAGCATCTATTCAAGAAAAAAGGGCTGGATCTCAGTAAGAACAGCATGCTTTGTAGCTTTTCCACTTGCCTTATTCCTGCCCATCCCTCACCATGTCTGCCATAGTCTTTGATAACCATCAGCCTTGCAACCACTGGAGGAGAAAGAATGGACTTGGAGCACCCTAAAAGTCCCATCCCCAGTAAATGGTAGCTATTTGACTTGTCCAGCAACTTCCGGAAAGGCCTCATTCATAGGGCTTGTCTTTATTTGACCTTATTCAGAACTCACTAAGGGAGAAACCCTGTCCATAGGGCATCTATCAAAAATCATCAGTGGAAATGGCTTAATATCACAGCTGCCCAAGGCAGAAGTAGAGCAAACAAGATGCTAACCAAAAACTTAACGGGAAAACCAGAGGCTAGCAAAAAACTTAGAAGTAAAAATCAAAGACCCATCAGGGTCTTTGAAAATCTCCAATATATTCCTGGTATTCTAGAAGGCCACACACAGGCAGGAAAGAATTGAGAATGGCTCAGTCTCTCAGCTCTGGGTGAACCGGAGGCTCTGCATCAGCAGGAATGAAGGCTAATGCAGAATTGTAAAACTATCCTTCAGAAAGGAAGGAAAATTAAGGCAGTCACAGATAAAAACAATTAATTGCTAGCAAATCTGTCCTACAAGACACAGTAAAGGGAGTCATTCAGGCTGAAATGAAAGGACACTAGAAGTTAACTTAAATCTATACAAAGAAAAAGAGCAATGATAAAAACAGGTAAATATAAAAGACAGTATAAGTGTATTTTGCTTATATCTTATATTGTTAAGATGGCAATACTACCCAAATTGATCTACATATTCATAACAATCCCTATCAGAATCTCAGTTATCATTTTGGGAGAAATTAACAAACTAATCTTAAAACTCAAGTGGAAATGCAGCCCACTTCTAATATCCAAAGCAATGTTGAAGGAGAACTCCCAGTCTGATTTCAAAGCTTACTATAGCTACAGTAATCAAATGCTAATGACAAGGACGTAAAAATAGCCGTGTGTAAATTGAATAGAGTTGAGAGCATAGAAATAAACCTGTAAATTAATTTTAAACAAGGGTGCCAAGACCATTCAATGTGGAAAGAATATCTTTTCTACAAATAGTATTGGGAAAACTGGATATCCACATGCAAAAGGATAAAGTTGAACTACTTCCTTATGCTACATACAAAAAGTCACTCAAAATGGACAATAGCCTTAAGTACAAGAACTAAAACTATAACACTCTTAAAAGAAAGCATAGGAGTAAATCTTTGTGACCTTGGATTAGGCAGTGGCTTCTTAGACATGATACCAACAGCATAAGCAACTAAAGAAAAAATAGGTAAATGGGACTCATCGAACCACTGAATTATACATTTCAAAAGGGTGAATTTTATGGTATATGAATTATATCTCAGTAAAGCTGATTTTTTTTATAAAGGCAATTTTCACATTTAATCTATTTACAGTGAGACTATATTTACTTATTAATGATATAATTTTAAAAAGAAAAAAATAAATTAATAGATGGTTCTGGAGGTTTATTTTTTTATTTTTATTATTATTTTTTGTTGTTGTTAATCCTCACGCGAGGATATTTTTCCATTGATTTTTAGGGAGAGTGGAAGAGAGAGGGAAAGACGGAGAGAAACATTAATGTGAGAGAAACACATCGATTGGTTGCCTCCAGCATGAGCCCTGACCAGTGCCCAGATCCAGGAGGAGCCTGCAACCAAGGTGTATGTGCCCTTGACCGGAATCGAACCCAGGACCCTTTGGTCCACAGGCTGGTGCTCTATCCACTGAGCCAAACCAGCTAGGGCCCAGAGGTCTTTTTCAATTCCGACATTCTAGGACTCTATGCCCTCGAGATCTCCTAGGTCAGTGGTTCTCAACCTTCTGGCCCTTTTGACCCAACCATAAAATTATTTTCGTTGCTACTTCATAACTGTAATGTTGCTACTGTTATGAATCGTAATGTAAATATCTGATATGCAGGATGGTCTTAGGCGACCCCTGTGAAAGGGTCATTCGACCGCCAAAGGGGTCACGACCCACAGGTTGAGAACTGCTGTCCTAGGTGCTGGGACCTATTCCCCCCTCTCCTCTCCTAACCTCAGAGTTACTGCCCTTCCAGGGTCAGCAACAACATCATCCATTGCAGGTTGAACCCTGTCTGTGGGAGCTAACCTCTATTTAGATAGAGGTTATGTGAGCTAGCACTTTGTCCCCATTTCTAGATGCTTCAACCATAGGCCGGGGTAGCCAATAAATCTGTTCTGCAATTAATGAAAAGGGAAGAGACCCTTTTGAAAACTGAAGGATTTCAAATTTTTTATATTAATATAATGTACAGTATAATAGTTTCCAGTTTCTATTAATAAGGATGATTCCATTACTGAGAGTCCTGTTTTTAAATCTGTGATTTCTAAAAACTGGATTTTTGATTTTTTATATGTGTGTAACACTTGGACTGTTGTAATATAAATTACATGTAGAAAACTATAGTGTACTTCATTGTTTAAAAACATTGACAGCTAATCTGGTACATAAAAATGCATGCCCTTTAATGCTCCATAGTGTCATTGTGTTGACAGTGTAAACAAAGAAGTGTCACAATGGGTCATTTATTAAAAGCAGTAAGTTTAGACACGTAGTGAAAGAGTGGTGTTTCATTATTGCCACTTTATATTTCTTACAGGACAAAGTTCTAAAAACATCAGTTCATCTCCAAGCATTGAGAGTTTGCCTGGAGGAAGAGAATTCACTGGCTCCCCACCTTTGTCTGCTACTAAAAAGGATTCCTTCTTCAGCAACATCTCCCGTTCCCGCTCACACAGCAAAACAATGGGCAGAAAAGAGTCTGTAAGTATTTAGCAGTGGTTTTCTTTTTATCTTTCATTTCCTTCTAGAGGGATGCATTTGTTAGAGCTTCTTATAATGCTCTTAAAATTTATACTACACTGGAGCAGGGAGGAAAGTAGCATCAATTTACAGTAAGTTAAATCCCAAGTCTCAGGTCCTTTTTCCCCTGCAAAATGACTTTTTGTCAAAGCCTGTGTGGTTTTTTTTTCTTCTAAAATGTAGCAAATAGCATTATACCAAATAATAGATTAAGACACCAAAACAAACCAAGCTGTTTTGTTGTTTGTTTTTTTCAGTTTCAAGCATTTCCTGAAAATTCAAAATTATTTTACCACTTGTTTTTAAAAGTTATACAGATTACATTTCAATTGTGGTCTATTGATAGTTGCTCTCTAAGAACCTTTGTATACATTACTCAAAAGAACATGTCTAAAGCATATCAACTACTTAAAAAACACATAACCTAGCTGTGTCTGAAAATGTTAAGCCAAATCACAAGAAATAAAACATTTAGCCACATTTTATAGCTCATTTAACAGAATATTCTGCTATGAAGAATTTATCTGCCGACTGGAAGAGGATGCAAATTTAAGGTATTACAGAAAAGAATCTACTAGTAGCTGTTGCTGAAATAGTCCTAAATTAGAAAAAAAAAATTGTAAAACTTCTGAGGTATAATTATTTACGGTACACAGAATAGATAATGACGTGGTATCTGTCTGACTGTGTGTGATCTTGGGCAAGATAGCTTTATGGTGCTTCAACCCTCTCATCTGCAAGTTAAACAACATGCAGTGCTCTCTGAAGGGAAGGGCTCACTACACACTCTCTTGGGGTCCCTTTCCATGCGTAGAAACTGTGATTCCTTAATTTGTGGAAGAGCAGAATGGAACGTTCATTTAAAGATGGCAGCTTTAGTGCAGGCAGTTAGCTCTGCTCCCTCTTAGATTCCACTCCAGGGACAGTTAGAATAGTTAAAAATAAACCCTCAAGGAATAAGAAACCAGGAGAAAAGACAACAACAACATTTTTTGTTCCTTGGAAAGCAGATGTTAAGTGCTAACTAACTTAGCCACCTAAGAAAGCTGAACACCAAGTCAGCAGTAGGTAAAAATCAAGAAGCAATGTGATTTAGATTTCATCTTCTGGAAGCTCGGGAACTGGAAATGGGGTAAAGGTGGAACTATAGACATGAGAATCAGTCAGAGGTCTCTCTCTTCAGAAAGCAGTTGGATTCCCTTCCCCATGCTGGCAGAAGACTAGAAATTTAATTATCTGGACTGAGTGAGATCAGGCATGTTCAAGTACAGCACTACCCTACTGGAAAAGGAATCTATAATAATAAAAGCATAATATGCCAATTAGCTGGGGCTGCAGGGAAGCCTGGGTCCTGGGTGCCAGAGGGAAGCTGATGCCGGCAGCCGTGGGAAGGAAGGGCCTACTTTTGCACAAATTTCATGCATCGGGCCTCTAGTGATGAATATATTTAGCTTCAGAATTTGGCCTCACCCCACCTGCTCCCTAAATTCCAGTATGTATATCCCTCCAGGCAGGAAGAGTTTTCTCTAAGCAGAAGTCACAAATGAAAAAACATGCAGACTTTCTGACCTCAGTGGTTCTTCAGGGAAATAGCCAGCTTGCTTACAGTGAACCTACCCATCACAGTCCCATCCAAACAGACCTTGCTCTTGACTTTTAGTTTATACTGTTTTATATGAGCAGCACAGTCGAGGATCACCAGGTACTTGAGGAGAGCATCTGAGAATGAAAGACAGACAAAAAAAAAAAAAAAGGTATCATTTGTATGTATGTCCTGATGTTTTCATGTGAGTACCTGGTACACAGTAATTAAGCAAAAATAACTCAAGTTGAACTCTGGGTATGTTATTTACCTGTGATTAGAAAATAGCAAAATAATGATATTAGCACTTTTAAATATCATTTTTTTGAAGTTCATTTTCTGAGTGGCTCTTTAGGTAAAAATGATTTTGACATCAAAATAATAAAATGCTATTAAAGAAAGAAAGCAACTGGGAGGAAGCAAGTCTATGTAGGAGTAGAATGCCTCAAAAAAATATTCAGAAAACAACCACTATTAGAATCTACAATATCAACAATGTAAAACTCAATAGAAGAATTGGAAGATAAAATTGAGGAAATTTCTCAAGAAAATAGAATACGGGCAGAAATGGGAGGTCAGAAAGAAAAATATAAGAAAACTAGAGAACCAACCCCAGAGGTTCAAAATCTAAAAAACACAAGTTCCAGACAGAGAGAACAGACAAAATGAAAGAAATAGTCAAAAATACAATTCAATAAAGTTTTCCACTAGTGAAAGAAAGACCTGAGTTTTCAGATTGTAAAGGTCCATGGAATGTCCCACACAAGTAAATAGAAACTCACACACTAATACATCACTGAAAAGGTTCAGCACTCTGGGAACAAAGAGATATCCTACAAACTTGAAGAATTGGGTTAAAAGAAAGATTTCCAACAAAGGATCAAGAATTAGCATAGCTACAAACTTATCTTGGCAACACAGAAACAAGACAATGGAGGAATGCCTTCATTACTTCCAACCGAGTTTCTATACTGAGCCAAATTAATTAAATGTGAGGGTAGGATAAAGCCACTTTCAGACATTCAAGATTCAAAAAATTTATTCCCATGCACCTCAGACTCCACTGGAGGACATGCTCTACAAAAATGAGGGCGTACGCTGAGGATGAGGAATACCTGAGAACAAGGAAATAGATTTTTCAGAGCAAGACAACAATATTCCCCAGAATGAGAATGCAGGGAGATCCCAAAACTATGTACCACACAGCTACTTAGCAGGTCCAGTGAGCAGCAGCCAACCCACATTGCAGAAAGTTAGAAGGTTCCAGAAAGTTTTCTCCAAAACAATGAAATTGTAAGAATAATGAATTTATTTGAACAAATTGAGTAATTTATACAACTAGTGGTGAGATTGGGTTTAAATTAGTGATAACTTTAGAAAAAAACAAGCCAGTAAAGCATAGAACAATTGGTAACCCCAAAGAAAAACAAAGAAGCTACAGGAAAAGAAATAAAGGTTATGAGAAACCTTTTAAGTGAGTTACGACTATTATGTACATAGACATTATAATGTAAGCCTGTTGACTATTAATCTAATCAAAACCATGGTGAAATTCATTTGAGAAGATGGGATGTGGGAACTGTTTGTTTGAATGCAGAGGGAAGGGGGCAGGTGGTAGTGGTCATTAGAGCTAAATCCTCATCCTCCATAGTGGAAAAGTAGTGTATAATATTCTAGAACAGTGATTTCAACCGTTTTCATCTCATCGCACACATAAACTAATTACTAAAATTCTGTGGCACACCCAAAAATATATCTTTTGCCAATCTCACACCCAAAAAAAAGGTGTAATTGTTTTTTGATTTACCAAAAAAAGAACAATAATAGTAATTACCTACCCTTTTTGCTCCAAAGTGACTTTTTAAAAAACCAGGTGCCTATATTTGTACATAAGGATTTCTGGTGCCAAGAATTAACCGATCAGATACAACCTTATTATGCAACTTTATTATCCAAGAAGATGCATCTCTGTATATGACCTACATATTTATGAATCAAGATAGGGTATTTACACTGGATGGCTCTTGTTGTGTTGATTGTCACTTTTTTTATTTGACAGTCTAAGGCAGTGCTCAGCAAACTGCGGCTCGGCAAACCACGGCTCACGAGCCACAATGCGGCTCTTTGGCCCCTTGAATGTGGCTCTTCCACAAAATACCAGCTCTTCCACAAAATACCGACTTCTGCGCATGGGCCAAGAAGTTTCAATCGCACTATATGTGTGCACCTGCACGTGGTATTTTATGGAAGAGCCACAGTCAAGGGGCCAAAGAGTCGCGGTTTGCCGACCACGGGTCTAAGGGGAAAAAGGTCAGGTATTGCATGTTTTCAGAATTCTTGCAGCACACCATTAAAAATCGTTGCTATAGAAAAATCAAGAAGTAGCAATATAAGCTAGAGCATAGAGATGAAAAAAAGTGGGTAAAAGAATGAAAAGTGGTAACTTCTGGAGAACAGGAAGTGGAGGGTGGGGCTGTGTGAAATGTTTTTCATAACAAGCCTTGTAGAACCATTTGACTCTTAACAGTGTTACATATATAACAGATTAAAAATAATAACTTCAAGTTACAACAAAAATAGAATATATCGACATAATAAATTAGAAGAGAAGATGTCTGTACAGAAAAACAACAACATATCTATGAAGAATCGGAGTCAGGAATAACAAATGAGAAAAGCATATGGAGAGATGTGTCATTTGCATCATCAAATTTTGGTAGCATATGGATTAGTCTACAACACCAATTAATTACTTTTCTTTATGGTGATGCAGTGACTTAAAACTGAGAAGTGGAGCAAAAATAGAAATAGAGTAAATCTAATCCTCCATGTAGACCTGCTGTGAACCAAGAAACAGAATGTCAAGTTACTATCCAAAATTTAATTTATTTCCTGACTTGTAGGAAGTACGTAGGCAGAAATTTTCAAGAGAAAGTTCATGGTTGTCCAAGTAATGGTTAGCTTATTATTTTATGAAATAATGTATTGTAGTCAGTGCCCTTCGCCAAATAATTTCAGTTTTCCCCCATTCTAGGCTCTTGATAGCATTATACCTCCATGTCTCCTATAGTCTGTCAGAGTCATGTGACTGGTTCTGCTCAGTGAGTTGAGTGGAAGTGATATGTATATATTGTCACTACAGGATCCTCCCAGCTCTGTCTTCCCCTCTGGCACAATGAGTAGAACCCATCTGCCAACCATGATAGACATGGAGTATGAGTGATAAATGAACCTCTATTAATTTAAGGTGAGAGTTGCTTATCACAGCATAACAGTGCACATAATTGGGAATCATTCTCTGATGGGAACCACATACCGACCCGTGATGGTCCCAGTAGCATCAGAGCCTATGACTGGGCATTTATCATCCCTGAGCCCA